CAAATAGTCTGGAAACTTTTAATTTAAAACTGAAGACTGTTGATAACTCAAAGATTAATTAATTGGACTTTATAAAAACTTTATAAGATTTTTGGCAGCAGAAAATGTCCTTTTTATACACTTTATTATTGCTGGGAAAAATATGAATAGCCAAAGAATATTTTCATTAAGTATAATTGTTAAAATTTTCGTATAGGATAAACATAAACGTTATAAATTAAAATAGACATTGTGATCATTACTAACTATGTAAAATATTATATTGTTTTTCAGCAGAATATAATTTATACATACATAAATAATTAAAGTTTAAACTACAAACAAACAAAAAATTATTTGTAACTTACAGGTAAATAATTTGCCATGACCCAAGTTTAATTTACCATAGCAGAGATTGTTTTTAATTAAATTTGAGAAATACTTTTGTCCAAAACGTTGTATATACAAATACATAATGATAAATAAGAGAGAATTTGAATATTGTTATTTAGAAACTGCCAAACCCCATATGATAGTGAATTATGATTCGAGAATATCCCATATTCATTTTTCATATTATTCTCTTTGATTCTAAGACAGGCAGAGGAGAATTCTGGTTATTTTTCGAGTTTTGCCTATTTAAAATATAATGTAATAATAATATTTATTGTCTTCGTTTTTAATTATTAAAGTGTTGAGTAATATACAAGTACCTACTTAGTAAAATATTTTATGAAAAGAATAATATAAAGAAATATTAATTTTCAGTTTTCTATAAACATGAAAGTATAAAACTATTCTAATCTTTGAACAATTGATAAACGTAATAAAAGCATTAAATAATAGTGTAAATTAAAAATACAGTTTCTACTATGTTAAATCAAATAAATTGTAAAACATCTTTTTCATCATAATGTATGCTGTACCAAAAATATGTTTTGTGATATTTTAACGATTTCCTCTTTGGGTTATACTGATGTTTTTATTTTACATTATTTTTTAACGTTAAACAGTCTGCTCTTACGAATTTTTTTCTTAATTAATTACACTTTTTGATTCTGGACGGGGGGGAGAGGTAGCTATTTTCAGTTGTTTTTAAAATAATCGTTTTTATTTTCATAAAATACTTGATTTTAATTTTTTTGTTCTATGTTAATGTATACAAGTCATTAATAAATACACTGTATTATTATAATATCAAAAACTGCCTAATACATGGTCGTAAATATTACAATATTGTTAATTAATCTTAAGCCAACCTGTAAAGCAGTTGGTTGACGTTTAGCGTTGTTATTATCTAAAATTTAACCATACGAATCGCCCACTTAATTAATTTCATGCAAGTACGCGACACTCTCGTTTTACACTCATGACACCATAAAACGTCATCGTCACAGAGATGGTTTTTTTTTAAATTCAAACCAAGTTTTAAAATCTTCCAGTATATATTCGTTTTTTTTTATCTATGGGGGTAAAGTATTGACAAATAAGCTTGTTTTTATAATGATACGTGTATTTATATAATTTTTTAATTTTTTATTATTAAGGCGTCAACTGCATGGTTATTCAGCCTGTTTTTACTGTGTTGTGTGTATGTGCGGGGGGGTTGGTTTGGAATGTATATGGGGCAAGGATTCCAAAAAATAGGGTGGACAAGGACATCTATCCGCGGGAGATAGCGACGCTGGCCGATGCTTGAACTCAGAACACTTGCCAACCAGCGTGCCACATCAGGCCCCGTAAGTGTATATTATGACGCGTGTAATATGTATATGTATACTTATACTATACATATAGGGAAATTCACCTATAGTGTTGAGTACAAATCATTTAGGTTAGGTATGTAGATAAGCTAAGATAACGCAATAACAACAATAAAACAATTTTAAAATAATAATAGAAGTTCTAATATTCTAATGTTATAATATTCATAATATTATATTATAACTACTAGCTGATCCCGTGCACTTCGCTACCCGTTAAATGTACAAACTGTATATGACTCAAACTTTGTTCAATGCGTTATTTAATATTCGGTGTATGATGTTCTAGATTTATCTTAACTTTTCTGTTGCCCGGAATAAAAATTCTATTTCGCAGCAGTATATTATCAGGTAGGAAATCTACCTGCGATAGATCGCGGACCCCATGCTGTTTGTACGTAAGTGAATGATTTAACTCTAAAGTATCAAAGTTATACCGAGTATGTCATATTCCAACCTATGGTGGATTAATCTAATCAATTAATACAAAATCCTAACCCAACCGAACTAAAATCTGATGAATAAAAAAATAACAAATTTCACCCTCTTTAAATTAGCCCATCTTCTACCCAGAGGTCTAATCTATACACAAACATTCATTTTTATATATATAAAAAGAAGAATTTGCTGAGAGAATGGTCAAACGACCAATGTTGGCCGCGTCTCCTTCAGTAGCGATGGCGTTACGCAAGTGGATGTACTCGTCTGATTGAAACGAATAAGATTGAGACCATTAATATTCAATTTAAAAAAAATACCAATAAATAAATATTACTCTCAACTCGCCTATGACCCATAGCAACCATTAATAAACAACAATTTCTATCGTAAATCTCAAAATTCTCGTTTTAGAGCCTACCGGAGGTGATCAATTCCATTTTTAAATTAGCGTATGAGTGTATGACACTCACAAAGAACATGGCTTTATAATATTGGTGAAAGAATTTTCGAAATCGGCTCAGTAGTTCCAGAGATTACTTTCGACAAACTAGCAACTAACTAACAACTCCTCTTCCTATAATAGTACATACATATATATATTGACAAAAATAATAATACAAATCAACAAACATGCCCGATTAACCAATATATTATAATACACTATTATTATTTAATTGTTAATATTATTTTTATTTTATTTTTTCTGGACAACCCTTATCACTTAGGGGTATGAAAAATGGATAGTATCCGATTCTGAGACCTACTGAATATGCATATAAAATTTCATAAAAATCAGTCAAGCCGTTTCGGATTAGTATGGTAACTAACATTGTGACACGAGAATTTTATATATTACTATACATTAGATATAAGTATAGGAGTTACACCTATGCAATTATGTAACTTAATAAAAGTACCTAGCTTATAATGTAGGTTATAGACTATTGGTAAGACGTATACACACATACAAGGCACAAACAAATATTATCAATATTACTAACATAAAAAATAATATTATAATTATAATTATGTTTGTGTGAATAATAATTGTCTGCTATAGTGCTATAGGTATTATTCTATATCAATATTAAAACACCTAAAGCCTAAAACTGTGTGTTCTGCATTAACCTAACCGAAAACATATCACTTTACATAACACTTCTTTGCAAGTATATATTGTTATAATAGTATTGGTACAATTATAGCGCTATAATGACTAAATCTATACGTAATTTTATTGTGCTTCAAAATTCCCATTTATTTCTAAACTGACGTGTTATTTACTTTTATTCTTCAAATTACTTATATAATTTATATAAGTAAGTAGTAAGTACATACATGTATATATAAATATAAAACCCTCTTCTCAGAATAGATTTTTATTATTTTATTAATAATACAAAATCAATCATGAATATTTAATTTTTATTTTAGTTTATTGGATCAAATGCTTGTATAGTGTACACGATTTTTTTCTCTAAGATAAACATAAATAAACTTAAACAATACCTATATCGCTACCTACATGAAATACATATTATAATTTATAAGTATTCAATATCTAGGTAGACTTATCTCATAGGTTATTAGGTCGCAATTGTATCGAATATATTTTGATGTCAATAGGAGAATCACTTTTCACTTAGTGACCATAAAATCTGAACATTTTCATTACGACGAATTTTGTAATAATTATTCATATTGTATTTTATTTATCATTAATTATTTTTGAAATATATTCAATATTTGTGGTTTATAATTAATAATTTAAGGACATTATGTCGTATAAATGTTATCTAACCTAACCAGAAGTACTTATAATACACGTCAATTAATGATAGATTAGGATTTAGAGTACACTATTATAATATATACGATTATGTCTTAAGAGGACGCTACACCTAAAGCGAAACGTATACAACGGCCAAGAGAACGCGCTGTTAGGTGTTTTCGCGATGCGCAAGCACGCGACGTTTAAGCCGCGCCCACTACTGGTAGTCGGCGGCCGGCCGACGATTGCGCTCATTCGAGAGCGGTGTTTATTGTTCTCTCAACCTCTGCCTGTGCCGGGTCGCGTATATATAAAATTCATACACGTAAATACCTTTATGCCACTATAATATTTACAATATCCGCGTGTACCTATGCGATTTATAATTATTAAATTAATACATTCAACTTAGGTACCTATACATAGTAGGCACAGTAAATAATACCTAATTTATAACAATAGCTTAAATTAATATTACTTTTAATCTAAATATTAGTTTTCTAATTTCTAGTAGGTAAATGTTAGGCACTTTTGCGTAGGTATAAGGTGTTTAGGTTATAATTTTGTATGTGTACGGTGTACCTCTTAGTGGCTGCTACCACATATACTTTTTAGTTTTTTAGAATTATTTGTGGAGTTCTATCTTTCTACTAGTATATTTATCTTACTTAATACTTATATACCTACGATTTACGAATTGCAAAGATACGATTCACGCGCGCATCTATTAACATACTTGTAATTAATAAATAATATAGTATGTAATACAATAGTACACAGTAGGTTATTGTTAAAAATGTATAGAAGTAAAATTATGTTGTAGACTGTAGTAATCAATAGTACGAATCATTTTTAATTCCAAACCTATAGAAAAATACCATAGGTAATTAGGTAAGTAATCCAATTGTATAAATTCAAGTTATTTATACAGTAGATATATGACTATTTATACAGTAGATATATGACTATTTATACATTTGATTAGTTTTATAAGAAAAATGATATAGGTATAATATATATTGTACTTATACAAAATAAAAACTTTTTTATTTTTTATTTTGGTTAATGTTTTTACATATATAATCTGGTTCCCTGATATCGGATTTAAGCAACCGTTTTGGATACAACGGGTCTATTATTTCTGGTAACAGACATTTCATATAGTATCTGTAAAAAATAAAAATGTCATAACACTTATTTAGTACCTACCCATTTGTAATTTCTTTATATAGTATAATGTATAAACAATAAACATAAACTAGATATTATATCCCTATAATATGTTATAAATTATTTAAAATATAAATTATTATAATAATAGCTACGTTTTTAACTTTTCCTCCATTTTTGATTTCCAAAAAGAATGATCATAAAATATTTCTTGTACATGTAGCCATTTTTCAGCGTATACAACAAAATAACACTTGGTTCTTTTAGTTATATAAAGCTGTCCCATAATTTGATAGTAGTATACACTTTCTTTTTTTAGTTGTACTGCTTGAGTAGACGGATCAACAGTGCTTGAATTGGAAAAAAAATAGAAGGGGGATGCAAAAGTATAAAAGATATGTGCGTCCCCGAACATTTAAATGTCTTGCTGTTAAGTGGTAGCATATGTCCCCCTCCCGCTACAATGACATTTTACACCATACAGCAATAAACAAATATTCCTTTTTATTTAAAAATTAAAAATAAAATATTGTAAAATACATAATAATAATTGTTATTTGTTTTATAAATTTAAATATGCCCATAAATGTTTATATGAATGATCTATGTCATGTTAGTCTCGTTTTGGACATCTTGTTTCTTCCGCACTTCTTTTACCCGTTTTAATCCAACATTTTACATAGTGGTCTGGTTTAAACAATTGAACAGGTGGTCCAACACAACTAATAATTACTAATGATGCTATGTGTTCAGAAGTTAGTACGTTTCTTTTAGGCGTTATTATGTTGTTCATGGAACTAAATTATCTTTTACATTCAGATGAAAATACAGCAATAGTTGAAATTGCAGTTAAAAGTGGGTTTAATGTTGGTATTTTTGAGGAATCTTTCAAGTCTTTAAAGTCTCTAAATCCTCGAATTGCGGATACTTCATTTAAGTAGTCTTGGTTTAAGACAAATTATATACATATCTATGGTATTAAAAAAAAAATAATTTATAATTTAATTATAAAATTTAATAATTTGCAAATTTTCGTGATTTTTCCATATTTTGTCATTTTTTGAACTTTAAATGCTTAAAAAAAAAACTGTGACTAACGATTTTTAATATTTTTCAAATGCCTTTGTAACAATATAGTAGGAGCCTTGTATTAAATTTTCAAGTATTTTTACTCAACAAATAAATTTTTATTGATATTCATAAAAAAAAAAAAAACTAATAAAATTGGTAACTGAAAAACTCCCTAAACAGTTCAAAATAAATCAAAATATTTTGAAAATGTTATCGTGTATAGAAAATGCAAATATAAACAACCACTGAAAATTTCATGTAGGTATCTACGGTCATTTGTTTTAAATTTTCTCGAAAACAGATTTTGTGTAAAAATTCCCGTTTTTCCTTAATTTTTCTTTTGTTTTTCCCAGCGCTTTTGAAAACTACTGGGAAATTTAAATTTTAACCTCCTCAATGCACCAACGATATTCACTTTCCAATCGAACAAGATACTGAAGTTAAAAATCGAAGCATTATTTCGACTACTTATCGTGTACACAGACAAAAAAAAAAAAATAAATAAAAAAAAAACACACATCATTGTAAAATCAATACATTCATCGTTTCACTCAGAATCTAAAATAAAAATATTTCCATTAATTAATACAATTTTTAAAATGATTCCCGTCCCCAGCGTCCCATTAAAAGAAATTAGAAGGGGTACGCTAAAATATTTTTAAAATAGAAGTGGGACTCCGTCCCCCCGCGTCCCCCCCCAATTCAACCACTGCGGATCAATAAAACAATGTTGAAGCTAAAATAGATATACGTTGGTTGTAATGTTATTTTATAATATGAATGATGACTCGTTTATGAAACAATATTATATTCTTACAAGTTTTTTGTGTACAGCTTCAACTACGCTAATAGTATCTCTAGCTACAAATGGACATTTAATTTCTACTATTGCGGTATCTTCTATCATCCCATCTTAACAAAAGAAAAATATTATATGATTAATTACTAACGTAAAAATATAAAGTGAAGTTCAGTACTCATATTATTATAATAATATAAAGTATTAAAAATGATGTTATAGTATTTTCTCGATTTCACTCATAACAGACTCTTGTTTTTGTTATTCTTTATTTAGTTTGTTATGAATACAATATAGCGATGACATCAATTTATTAAAATATTTTTTTTTTTAAATAAGTACCTACCAAATTTTTTTTTTTATTGAATAAATTATAAATATTATATTAAACTAAATCACCTGGGCTAGCTGCTAAATATCCTATTTCTTTATCCACAAATAAACCACATGCATATATTGTCTTAGATAAAAAACGTTCAGCTTTTTTTCTTGCAACAACTTCCATGTCTTTTCCATACTGAATAGCTTTGGAATGAATATCTGACCCATAAAGTATATCATACACTGAATTTTTACAACTAGTGGTCTTTCGCATTTTGCAGATATGACCAAACCGAGATGCAGTAAGACGTATTCTTCGCTCTTGAAACCATTTATCACACTCACTTTGTTCTCTGGTATCTATTTCTATTTGTTCAATATTAGCTCTTTGTAACGAAGCAAGAAAGTCTATTTTTTTAATTTCCATTTGTTCTGGTGATAGTGTTTCTAATAGTGGTTCAGCCATACCATAATCAGCATCCGGTCCACTTGTCTTAATTTTTGGTACTTTTCTTGTTTCTGGAAATAACTGCCGTCTTTTTATTGTGTTTGATCTTATCCTATGACAGTTGTTGATAAACTTTTTCCCAAATGTTCCTGAAATTAAACATAATGTATACAGGAAAATAAATTAAACTAAAATTTGAATATTTATTGATTATATACCAGGACTAAAGCCATTAGAATGTTTTTTATGTATAAGTCGTAAAAAGTTTTTTGAGTTGAAATCTATCACGGCAGCTTCAACCCTTGTATTGTAGCTTCTTCTTCCAGAAAAGTTAACTCTCTTGCCACCAGTATGTTTGTTTATAATAGAATTAAATTGTTCACAAATATTATTGTTTTTATTTTCGAGTAAACTTTCGGCGTTTGTAATTAATCTGGACATTATATTTTGGATTTCACTCATGATTCCATTTTTTTCTGCTTCAGGAACTAAGTTTAATGTATTCTGTAGATTAGAACCATTACAAAAATAGGAAACGCAATTTGTATGTTGTCCTAATCGATGGAATGGAGCATTAGCCAAATCTTTTTGAATTCCTAGAAAGTTAATATAGGTACAATATATTGTATAAAGACCATAAAAAAATGAATACTATGCGATTAGATATATAAAACGATAATCAAATTGAATGTAATTAATTCACATAATAAAGAGAGATGGTACCTTTTATTTTTTGAGCTTTGTTTGTATCATTAGTATTTCTCCAATGTTTTACAGATTTTGTGACATCACTCCTAAATCGCTGTATATTGCTCAATAAATATTTACGAACTCGCAATGAATATTTAGTTATTTTAGATAACGCGGTCAGTTTTGAACAATAATTACGCATCAGGTGATTCCGACATTCAATTTTTTTAATGTGAAAATGGCGGCCGTATGGTGAAATTTCGTGAAGTCTTTTGGTTACACTGCTATCTCCGTCACCTAAAGGCAAAGTAAAAATCATTCTATGTACATATTTTAAACTCGGAGCGTAGCGATGAATGTATTGGTTTGACTGCAATGATATATGTTTTTATTTTTTTCATTTGTGTCTGTGTACACGATAAGTAGTCGAAATAATGTTTCAATTTTCAACTTCAGTATCTTTTGATGGGAAATTGAATCTAGTTGGTGCATTGAGGAGGTCAAAATTTAAAATTCCCAGTAATTAGTTTTTTTTTCTATAAATATTAATACAATTTTATTTGGTGGGCCGAAATGTGTGAAAATGTAATACGAAGCTCCTAATATATTGTTACTGTAGCAGTTAAAAAATATTAAGATACATAGGCAAGACTTTTTTTATAAGAATTTAAAGTTAGAATTTTGATAAAATTTATCTAAGTCTTGAAAATTATCAATCATTGTAAGTAATTAAAAAAAAAAAAAATAATCAGTTTCAAAACTAAAGATTGAAATCTAAAATATATATAATCACAATTATTTTTTACAGACATTTTAAATTCAAATTTGGACAAAATTACTTATTAAAATCAAAAAATAGTAGATTAATACAATAAAATAAATTAGTAGGTACCTCCCATGTAGTTTTTACAATATAATATATTAATTATAACTCCTAGAAAATACATTTACCAATAAGCCGATTATATTTTAGTCTATGCATTTCCACACTTTTCAAAAAACCTTCTACTATACCATCAGCCTCCATACTAGTAGATGCTTTGGTCCAATTTAAAAAATATTCATGTTGATTTACACTGTTTTCGTTTTTTGACTCAGATCTCTGACATATCACACAATACTTATTGCGAATCCCAATGAACAGTACTTTTTTCGTCCTATATCCAATTATTGTAGCCTGTGAATTGTTATTATCAAAATTTAAAAATTAAAATAGTTGGTGTTTGTAATTATATACCTGTTTATGTGTAAATAATAGTTTACACCCTCGAAGGGCAAGATTACAGATTACAGATAACATAATTTCAAACATATATAGGTTATAGGTAACAATTTAAATAATAAAAATAATAATATAATAAACATTAAATAATAATAAGAAAATAAATAATTATAATATTTACTACTCCAGATAACGCGTCATATTTGGTTTTATAGCTGCGTTTCGACCATTGTCCATCAGCTACCACTGTAATCATCGGTACACCGTCAATATCAATATCACCATATTGTATGGCAAGTTTGCGTTCTTCTTCTCCAGCTTTTTTAATTTCATCCCATGCTACTTCGTTTACAGCTATGGCTGCGTTTGATTGTATTTGTACATACCCACTACACGATAATGACGGAACATCAATAAATGCGGCAAACTCCGTGAGTTGAGTGTGCCCAATCCCTAGTTTCATATTTTAAGTACATATTATCATTTTAATTATAATAAATGATAAAATTGTATTCTTTATTGACTTTTATAACACATATTTACCTATGGACTGACATGCATTTACTACAGCTTTATTAACTAACATGTACTGATTTTGTTGAATATTTTCCGAGTATAATTTAGATTCAATACAACATACTTTACATTTAAAAACAAATATCGAATAAAAGCCATATATCACTTCTGATTGAAATTCCATGTCAATAAATGAGCATCCAAATGGACCTTTATGCCTTACTTGTATTTGTTTGATGAGAAATGCAATATCTACAATTCGTCGACCAACTAGAGGACTACAAATAAAATTCAAATACCATAGTAAAAATTAACTTATTAGTTATTATATACCTACATATTATAATTTTAATATTATATTATTATTAAAATATTAGTTATTACCCTTTCAAATCAAGATTGGCATTATTATCATTGATTTCTGTACATAACGCATGTGTATGTGATGGAGTGAGTGAGTCACTAAAATTAATTAGGTAAATATGTATACATGTATTTATATATATATAATTATTTGATTAAAATATTATAAACTTACTCTGATAAAGGCCAGAACGTTTCATCTAGGCAAGTTGTACTGCTAAAAAATTTAAATTAGTAATATTTAATTTAATTTTACTTTTTACCTGATTATTTCAAAAAAATGGTATTTTGGAATTCAATTCGTTTAAATTCCTATACTACGCTTATGAGTACAATGCTTCAATAATATTAATTATAATTATGGTGCTTTTGTTTTCCACTTACCTACCTATAACTTTTATGAAACAATAACTTTCAAAATTTTAAACTTATGTAATTTGCACAAAATTGTTCTAAATATATTAGGTATATATACTATATAGTAAATACTCTTTATTTTGACTTATTTTGAGCTGTTTACGGACATTTTCAGTTTCCAATTTGTTTAGGTTATTTTTCAATAAATATCAATAAAATTTTATTTGTTAGGTAAAAATTCTCGAAAATTTAATAGCAGGCTCCATATATATTGTTTCAAAGGCAGATAAAAAATATTAAAAATCCTTAGTCACAAATTTTTTTTTAAGCATTTAAAGTTCAAATTTTGACAAAATACGACGTAAAAACAACTGCCAATTATTTTGAGTTAAAAATTCATAAAAATTTTTCTTTTTAAATCTAAGATTTTAAAATGTAATTCAAGATATAACATAAAATTCTCTACTTTATCAAAAATAAAATAACTAAAAATAAATTTTTATGAGCGTTTGAAGTTCATAATTGTACAACATTGGATATTCACTCGATTTCTCAAAAACGAATAATTGTAGATGCATGAAAATCTCACTGCGTGTTTATATTCTCATTTTCTATACACCAAATAATTTTGAAAATATTTTAATTTGTCTTGAGCTGTTTATAGACACTCTCAGTTTTCAAGTTTTTTAGTTTTTTTTTTTTATAATTGTCAATAAAATTTCATTTGGTGGGCCAAAAGTCTGAAAATTTAATACAAGCTTTCCAATATATTGTTACAATATCAGTTGAAAAATTTTAAAAATACATAGGTACGATTTTTTTTATAAGCATTTAAAGTTCAAATTTTTACAGAATTTGTCAAAATCTCGAAAATTATCAATCATTGTAATTAATAACTTATAAAATGTTCAGTTTTTATAACTAAGAGATGAAAATTTAAAACAAAGATTTTCATAAATAATTCTTACTGTAACCAAAAAATCTAAAAAATATATGAACACAATAATATTTTACAGACATTTTAAATTCAAATTTGGACGAAATTACATATTAAAACCAATAATAGCTTTTTTGTTGTGATTTAAAAATATTATTTGTAGTATATGAAACTTTTAGGTATATTGTTATATTTTATAAACACGCAATGGCATTTTTAAATGTAATTTTTTTGGGAAAAATGAATCAAACCAACTGTAGTAAATACTAATGCCTAATTTTAAAATGAATTACTTTATTCCCAATAATATCATCAAATACATTTAGTAAGATATTATATATAGACTGCAGACTGACCGTATTCGCTCAGAATCGTTTTTCTTATACAATGATATTATATCATTAGATTCAAATGTAATATCATCCATTATACAGTGACCTACTTGTAATCTACTGTACAGCAGAGCGACATCCACTTACCCAACCTTTTTTCATCATTGGATATTAAAAATCTTACTTTAAAATTCTGAGCCCCCTATACATATACTATATACATATATTTAGTCCTGTTTACATATAAAGGATACACTTTAATTAAGACAGTGACCGCTCTGGCTATGTATATATAGGACATACGTGCTATTTAAAAATAATGTTATTACCTCGAATTTTGATCAACATTGTTGAATTGAATTTGCAGCGAAGATTCTTCAAGATCTCTGTCCACAACATCATCTCTAAAGTTTCATTAATTTAAAATTTAAAAAAAAAGTAAGTATAACCGCTCTGCTGTATAGTAGGTATCGCGTTGATCTCGTCATTAAGTTATAGGTTACTTTAACGGATTGAACTTAAAACGCATTTTTCAATTGCAACAAGTTCTTTGTATTACATTTTCTACATTTTTTGGGCTGTATACCGTTTTTTATCGATATTTCAGAAAAAAAAACAGTAACCTCTATGACGAGGTACAATCGAGACTCGACACCAACAGCAGAGCAATGTTTTTCGTTTTAGACAAGGAGCCTAAGTTCTTAAATTTAAATTTAAATTGGTAATAATATGATGGTTTTAATTTTTTAAATAAATAATATGTAATTTAGGGCACTTACCTCGGTTTTTTTAATCGTCTTTGTGCAAGAGTCTTGGAACCCATACTTTTAGTTGATCGCTTACGCTTTACCATATTTTTTTTATTGGCCATAATTAATAATGTATAACGACCGTATAATTATAAAAAATTCACAAAAATGTTTACTACTGATGTGATCACGTTGAACAATCCAGGAGGAATGATTGTTTTTCGTAAAGTTTACTTTTTGATAATTCGAATATTATAAATTATAATAACTTGAATATTTATTTTTGTACAAATGCTCGGAAATATAGCTGTTAGTAGTCTAATAATATTTAGACTTCCGCTTTATAATTTGTAATTACTAATACTAAGAATTAAGGCAGTAGTCTGATATTATTACTTCCGCTGTCCTAATTCGTAATCACTAATAATTATTTATAAGAAGTACGGTGTGTATACCTTATAAGTTATAACTCATTTTATTTGGGGTAGGTAGTCATAAACCATAATAGTCATACGTTTATATAATAATAATTGTTTTAATTAATTTGAATATCGATTCAAGATTTTTTTTACATACTAGAATTTATTATTGCTAGACAAATTATGCATACTTTAAAGTTTGATGTACCTACCTACTGTCTGAAAATATTAGAATGTCCGTAGTATAAACATAAGCGTAATCTGGGGTAAATTTTTAGGGGGGCAAATTTTGGTAAAACCCCTTGCCCCCCCAGATTACACCTATGGTAATTATATTATAAAAATAATTTAACACAAATCAAATGAGTTAACCAGTCGGTCAGTGATGGAATGCCGTCTATGATTGTCGATTGCCTAATTATAATAATTTTATTTCTTCATTATTGTCATTTCTATAATGTCAATAATCCATATTACCTACTATAATAATAGTAAGGTTTATAATCGGCGCACAATCTATTTCTCGGAAACGTCTGACGTCGCCGATAACCGACCCCCGTCCGCACAAGACAGTCATTAGCTTATAGGCGTAGTGGGGGAATTCGCGGCCGCCGTCACAACGGCAGGCAGGTGGCAGCACATGATGGCAATGAAAAGTCAAATCTAACGACGTAAACATGCTGTCGAAAAACAAACGAAAAGCCATTAAAAAGTGGTTTTAGAGTAAAAATACCCATAATAAATTTTATAGAGAACAATATTTCGGAGGGAACCTCATCGGGGTTTAGTATTAATCTAAATACACAGCTAGATATCAAAGACACAAAAACCTTTTTTTTTAAATTTTTTTTAATAACTGTAACTTTTTTAATAGTTAATATTTTGAAAAACACCGATGAGGTTCCCTCCGAAATATTGTTCTCTATAAGTTTCATAATAAGTATTTTTACTCTAAAATCACTTTTTGATGCAGTTTTGTTTGTTTTCCGTGGACGTATTTTTACCGCTGAAAATGACCGGTGTAGCGTCCTCTTAAGAGTGTATAGTATAATTTTAAAAAAGTTCGTAGGTATAGGTGTTCAGTAATCAAAATTATTGACAAAGTTTTTAATATTACAATATTTTATTATACTATAAACTAGAAAATAAAACATCACATTATGTATAGTAACTAAAAAACACGATGCCGACAATTTTTGTCACACACAATCATGATGCCCACCTAAATATTCAAAAAATCAGAGTTTGAATAAACTCACAACTAGGTATATAAAGGAAAAATGGATTTGAATACCATGGTGAATCATTCTGTACGTATAGTAGGTATAATATATTGATCAAAACCTAGTGTTGTTTGGCATTTTGACGAAATACGCGATTTTGTCCAACGGTATCTTGTAGTTGTGTATCCATCTGGATCCCTTTCTCAAGCTGCCCTCAATCCCATCCTTCCAAACACCGGCCGGCAGGTACACCTCGCGCTCCGTAGCTCCTGGTCGCAAAATGGGCGCCACGATGACTTCTTCGCCTATGGAGAACTCGTCTTTCACGATGTAGCACGTCGTGTCCGAGGGGTCCAACATCCACAGTGGCCTTATCAGCGGTACTGCGGTTTCCAGAGCTTCCTGAACGTACCGCTTCAGCAATGGATTAATCTGTTTACAAATCGAATGCACATAATATACCTACTATTATTATGGTTAGCTTCGCAATGATAAGTCTCATCATTTTAAGCTAAACCATAAACGTCTTTGATGGAAGGGGAGAGGGAAATAGTCGTTTGGAAACTCAATACGAACATGATAATATTATATTATACTCTAGCTATCTTCATACCTACATAATCGCACGACACGAGTTCCTATTTCAATATATTAAAATAATATACACACCAATATTTTACGATGCACACACAATCGAATTATCATCGCCGTCACCGTAAATATAGTAATATTTATTCTTGAAGTTTGAATGCGTAATTGAATAAAATGTAAGGCATAAGACCATAATAACGTTATAACGATATCGATGACGACGTTAGGGCTGATAGGATTACGGGTGAGCAGTGATCAAAAACTTTTGCAAGTGCGTACGTGTATAATACGCTTCTGGGTGTATCCATTAGCAGTGTGTGTTCAAATTGCAGTCATGAGACTCCGGTGAAATTGTAGATTATTGGCCGTTATCAACCGAAGTGGCAAGACTTTTATAACTAAGACGTGACTCCCGACGTGAAACTTTTCACAACGTTCGTTTTGAATTTCCCGCTTTTATCATATTCACGCTTCTTTTAAGCTTCCACTAAGACGTAGTGTATAGTGTATACATCGTGCGCAAATAATCGAATTTAATGTTTTGCACCAGTATTATGATAAAAACTTTAGAAACAAAGTGCTCGGTGGGGAGTTAAAGTGACCGTAAAAAATAGCTATAAATGATTTAACTACCGAACAAAATGGATCTTGGCTGGATTTCAAAAAATACATTTTCCGTAGCAGTTAGTTATATCGTACGACACGAGGTTTGAAATGGAAATCTTTGATAGTAAAAATAACTTACTGTTTGCTGTCGAAGAGACGTCAAATTTTTCGTCAACTGGAGTACTTGTGGGTCACAATCGCTGGGCAGCCTCGCATACCTAATTACCGGTAAGAACGTAGCCAACTGCATCCATCTCATCACTAGTTCTCGACTCTCGTTATAGTTTTGTCCACGTTGCTTGCATTCCTTCAGCGATTGGGTCTCCAAGAGTTCTATCGACGGATTGTCTGAATAAAATGAAAATGAAATTCGCGCGTGACATAACAAGGTGGATGTAGTGGGCTTGTTACCTGGCGGAAGCAGTGCGTGCAACGAAACGTTACCGACTTGAAAATCTCCACCGACAGGCCCAGGCAACAGGAACGGATATCCGACTATTCCGTATGTGAGCATAGTCGGTATGATCACCTGAAGAGAGTCCCAAGTAGAGGCCAGTGACAGCAACGACACGAAAATTGGAGCTGGTGGCCGACTGATGGCCGAAGAGACACCGAACACGTTTACGCTGTCCGAAACGGTCTGAGTGAACAGCGATTTGTAGTAGTCCGGATTCGTTAGGTTCTCAGCAAACAGATAGTGGCGAGGTAAGTCGTAAGCGGATCCTGAGTTTAAAAAGTAAAGAAAAAAATGAGAAAAATCATTCACATGTGGTGAGTTAATAGATATTTGAAAATGTAGGTTAGACGTGTATACTTACCCATATCCAAGTAGAAAGCGTCAAATTGATATCTTTCTACGAGGTCTTTCAACTGTTGCTGTAACCATGGTCCGCAGTTTTTGTTGGTTATGTCCAACATTCCAGCACTTTGTACAGTTTTGTATCTGGTCAGGGCCGGCACGTCTCGTTCGTTTCCAATTTGTCTGACCTGGATAAGAACGGGTCAATATCACGATAGTTAAAATATTACTATTCATATCCAAATATTATAGCCACAAGTTATTTCACTCTTGGTGCTCACTAGAATACCCTCTCTGACGGCTTTTGCAAAATTTCTCGACTCAGTGCTGATGAACGGTTGTATGGTGACCACAATGCGGAAACCTCTTCTGTGGATTATGTTGATTGTCTCTTTCATGGTTGGAAATCTTTTTTGGTCCAGCGAAAAATCGCCCATTTCCGCTTGCCAAAATTCATTCAGCAACACGTGTCCTAAATATTACAACGGTACAGCGAATGATATCTAATAACCGGAAATTTATGAACTAAAAAAAACTCGTTGAATAATATGATGCAAATAATCAAGGAAATTTTTTTTTGATTTTTAGGTATTATTATCAAATTACATTATAAAAAGTAAGTAAGCGGATGTCGCTCTGCTGTACAGTATGTTACAAGTTGGTCACCATATAATGGATTGTTTAAACTTGAACTCAATGATATAATACACACATGATTCCGGTTCTTAATGTATTACCACAAACAGGCAATGACTTTACCTTGTTTTATGAAACCTAGCGTGATGATGTCCTCGGTGTAGTTTACCATCGTGGACTCGTTGAGCAGTTCTTTCCTGGGCGGTGCCAGTTGCCAGACGGGCTCAGTAAGCAGCGAGTTTATGATCTCGGTGTCCGATGCCTTCAGCCCGTCCCACAACATTTTCTCGGAGAGGGCCGTGTGCAGCGTCTTCATGTTTCGCGCCGAGCATATCGTGTAGTTCAGGACGGGCAGGTCAGCCGTCCGGCGGTAGGCGAAGTCGTCGTGGCTCGCCTGAACGGACGATTATTATTCATAATTATTATTATTTCAAAAAATAAAACACGAACACCGTCCGCTGTACCACACGCGCCTTTTCACCGGCGACACCCGATACGAACCTTTATGCACAGCCTGTTGTCGCGGCCGGCGTTTATGGACACGTGCAGTGGCGTGTTTGAATGCACCGTTATCGCCACTCCTTTGGAGTTGATAAAGTACCGGCCGAGCACGCTGCCCCACCGATGCCTGCCGACGTGTCCGGTTATGAAAGGCGACATTTCCACCCTCCCCAACTGAACCGGCCATGCCATGCCCAACGTTCTCCCGCCCCCGTACCTGCATAATACGTCCAACACGTTTCCAATCACAGGGTTTATATTAAAATATTTTTATCACAATAAATAATATTATGCAGTAACATTATGTCTTGTCGTAAAAATATTCGTATTAAGTTTATTTTATATAC